TTTAATAGCATTTAATTTGTGAGAGTGATAGCGTGAACACAGCAGCAGCAGCAGCAGTAGTAGTAGCCGTAGCAGTAGCAGTAACAGCAGCAGTAGCAGTAGCAGTAGCAGCAGCCAGCAGCAGTAGCCGCGCAGTAGCAGATAGCGACAGCCAGCAGTCAGTAGCAGTAGCAGTAGCAGTAGCAGCAGCAGTAGCAGCAGTAGTAGCAGCAGAGAGCAGCAGTACAGTAGCAGTAGCGCAGCCAGAGTAGCAGCGTAGCAGTAGCAGCAGCAGCAGTTAGCAGCAGCCAGCAGTAGTAGCAGCAGCCAGCCGTAGCAGTAACAGCAGTCAGTAGCAGCAGCAGTAGTAGCAGCAGCAGCAGCCAGTAGCCAGTCGCAGCAAAGCAGTAGCAGCAGTAGTAGTCAGTAGCAGCAGCAGCAGCAGCAGCGCAGTAGCCGTAGCAGTAGCGGCAGTAGTAGCAGCAGCATGTAGCGGCAGTCAGTAGCAGTAGCGGCACAGCCAGCAGCAGCCAGCAGCAGCAGTAGCGGCCGGCGGCGGCGGCGGCTGGCCCAGCGGAGAGTGTAGCGCCTGTGTGCTAGGTTTGCGTGATTAATTTTCATATCTGGCGCATAAACGGTTCTAGGACAAACTACCCCAGGACAATCACCCCGGGACAATTACCCCGGACAATTACCCCCCGACAATTACCCCCATGCCATTCACCCCCCGGACAATCACCCCCGAACAATTACCCCGGACATTTACCCCCCCCCCTGACATTACCCCCCGGACAATTTACTCACTTGATGTTTATTATTCATTGTTGAACAGTGATACAGGGAAAGAGGTCGAGGAGGAGGAGAAGAAGGTGGTGGAGGAGGAGGAGGGGAGAAGGTGGGGAGAAGGTGTGGAGGAGGAGGAGGGGGAAAGAGGACAGAGGCGGAAGAGGAGGAGAGCGAGGTAGAGGAGGAGGACGGAGGCAGGAGGGGAGAGAACGTGGTGGAGCAAGTAGCTGAGATGAGATGGTAGTGGAGTGAGGAAAGGGTGAGAGGCATGGTGGAGGCAGGAGGAGTAATAATAACATGAAGAAATTCAAAGAGAAAGGTCTAACACACGTATTACACACACACACTCTCTCTTTCCCCCATTCTCTCTCTCTCTCTCCCTCTCTCTCTCTCCCTCTCTCCATCTCTCTCTCCCGCTGTCTGTCTCTCCTCCCCTGCTGATACCTATGTATGAAATGACAAATAGTGTACTTATCAAAATGCTTGACTTGATGCCACGGCGGGGCCAGCTGCCAGCAGGAGACGCTATGAGGTAGAGTGAGTTGATTGCCGTCACGGTACCACGAGTACAATCCCTGCAGGTAGGTCACCAGTCCATTCTATACAGAGATAGAAAACACGCTATCACTGTGTGATAAAGAGTAGGTTACCAGTACTTCTAGATATCTAACTGAATAAAAATAGTCCACTTTCTAAAAGTGACGAATTCAGTTAACAGCTTTGATTACGTGCGTGTCAGGTGTCACTGGTCGTGCCCTCACTCCCTACGATAACCCCTGCGATATAAAAACTTATTGTTATTGTTATTGTTATTGTTATATGCGGTCATAAAAACACTGGGCTGCACTACATTCCGGCGATGCCGCAATCGATTTCTTAGACTGTCGCGAGTTTTTGTTCGTGTGGCGAATCATGCGTTGAGGGAGTTCATGCAGCTCTAGATGTTTTGGATACCCCGTCAACGTTGAGGAACGGGTCGTATTATGCGTTCCCGTTTACAAGTCTGTGCCGTTGCGCTAACCGTAGTATTTCACGTAGAGATGGAGGCCCGAGCTCCGGGTCGGAACTAATTTCGAATGCTGTCGGCGGCACGGGAGCGATTTTTTCTCGTATCTTCCAAAATTTTCGCTCTCGTAATTGTTGTTACCAGAGCGCTTTGAAAGCTGACGGGAGCGAAATCGCTCGCCGCTCCCGTGTATTTTTTTCGCTGCCGGCC